TAGGCTTTACGAAATTTCGAGTTCGCAGACAGCCCATAAGCACGTACGGAAGATGTTGGACATGTCCAATAGATTCTACGAATAGCCTGCAGCAACGGAGCCGCAAGCGTAACTTGCTCCCCTCGAACGGAGTTAGCAAGAGAGACGCGCGCTGTGCAAGATGCACGTCGCAAGCAATAAAGGAGCAAGTGCCCTTTGCGTGTCGAATAAGGCGCACGCCCTCACAACTAACGAACGAAGTCGACAGCACACCGGGAATGTGTCGCACGTGCGTCACCCCCAGGCCTGGTGTATAAAAGGCATGCTCACGACGCAAGCTTGTGTCTTTACGATGAACGTCGACTGTGTAACGTGTACAAAAATATACAAAAAATTTGCTCAATTTTGTTTCTAATATGCTTCCAAAAGGCAAGAGAAAGGAGCTTACATAGTAGAAAAAAGGGAGGAGGAAGAAGAAAGAAGAGGAGAACAGGAAGCAAAACTGACGTACGCCGTCAGTACGTCACCACAAACGCGTGATGCAAGTGTGAAGCAAAACTGACGCAAAATGGCACTACTTTCGCCGAGCGTTGCATTCCCTTCGTAAGTGGTGAGTGTGTGCCACGTACACAGGAAGCAAGACAAACTCAAGAAATTAGTACAATTTCTACGGACATTTCATGTGGCCCTTGCGACTCGCAAGGCAGACTTTCCTCTACCTCTACGACCTCCACGGCCTCCGCAACACCCAAAAATCGCAGGGGACGTCCTAAAATTTGTACGTCCGGTTGTGACCGAGGCTTTACGTGTCCCGTTAGACAATACATTTTGAGAATACGTTGACCTTACGCAGTGGCTGTTGATCATGTCTGCATGTCTGCAATCTCCAAAAGTTGCACCATGGACGTGCTCCGCACGCACGAAATCCCACGTTTTCCCCATTTGTTGTCCGTAGACCAGATGTAGAAGACCGTACGTTGGGTTGGGACCCAGGCTGTCTGCGGACTCGAAGGAATTGCGTGGGACGTAAGTTTCTGCACAACATTTGGACGCAAACAGCCAGTAATAACCCGGACGGCCGGTTGTGACCGAGGATTTATGTTGTATGGACTGCTACGAAAGACTAGTCCTTCTTTTTATTTCTTTAACGCGTGGTATACTGCCCGTCGAGAAATTGTTTGACCTTTATTCCTCGTGTGGGCGACGATGTCTTCACTCTTGTAATCATTCTTTTAAATAAAAAAGAAATACTAGTAATAAAGTTTTTTTCATAACTTTTTGGGTGGCATTGCACGGAGTAGTTTTTTTTGGGGTCAATTTTGATGCAATATTACATAATGATTACCCGTATATTTACCACCAATTTTTAATTATATACCATTAATAACATGAACATATAGAACATTTGATTTCCACTGGGCTACATGCCCGTGGGAATTCTATGTCCCACATTGAAAATGCTAATATGTGAAAGCTAAAAATTTAAAAAATGTACAACAGAAAAAGAAACAAATTTAACTGCTTTTTTCAACTAAGGGTTCTTTTAAGTCTTACGTTTCTTTTCTGTAAGTTTAAGAAAAGTGACATGGTTTTCTTTGATGGTAACGATGGAGGCAGTGCCGAAAATAGCGTTTTTCTCAATTTTGATGCAATATTACATAATGCTTAAAAGCATAATCAGCATCAAATTGGATATTCAGAAAATGTGACTTGCAAAGGTCTTTAGGTCGATGGAAGTCACACCTTGAAAATGCCGATATGTAGGGGTCCATGTTCCTCCCTACCCAGGTTCTTCTAATATTTCGCTTGTCACTGATGGGAAAGGGAATGTTACCACAAACTCACATGTTCAGTTCTAACTCTTAAAGTGTCTTTAGTAAGTCCAAGCATTCAGCATTTATACACATTATCTACAGGGAATCTATCTGCATGCCACAGTGGCAGCAACTGATTTAAATACTAATTGCAATGCAATAGATGACAAGTGAGAGCTTCTACTCATAAGTTATATCAGTTCTACTTATCTGGTATACCTATACAGAGGATGATAAACAGTCATTCAAGACTGAAGCAAGGTGAATGATAATATGCTGACTGATTATATAAACATAATATGTAAATGAGTGAGTTCATCATATGCATTTAGTGGACCTTAACAGATATGTAAATTTTAATTTTCACCAAAAAAGTAAACCTTATAGAAAAGTTAGCCAAAAAGACAGATTTTCCAACTACAGCTGTATTTTAGTCCTGTGTTTCTTTCCTGTAAGTGTGAGAAGAGTAAGTGACATGACTTTCCTTTAATGGTTACTATGGAGGCAGTGTCCGAAATAGGGTTTTCTTCAATTTTGATGCAATATTACATAATGCTTAACAGCATAATGATCAAATAATAAAATAAAAGTATTGTGGATATTCAGAAAATGTGGCAAGCAAAAGTCTTCAAGCACATGGAAGTTCAGAGTCACACTTTGAAAATCCTAAAATGTAAACAAGAGATAACTGTACTTAAAAGAATTTCCATTTTCAACACCTTTTTACATAAATCAAAATAATCAAATTCAACGTTAAAACAACATAATTTTCCCGCTGGGAACATGCTTAAGAATTACATCTAAACAAAACACTTATATACAACAAGGCAGCAAAGCTGTCAAATGTACAGACAAAAAAAAAAAAAAAAAAAAAAAAAAAAAAANGAAAATAAAGAATCAAAAAATAGGTGATTTTGTCAATTTTGATGCAATAATAAATAATGCTGTCAATCAACACTGAATTTTAATCATGAACAACAGATAACATGGTTAATAACAGGAGCGAACAGGAGAGATAATTTCTGACAGTATTCCAAATTATCTTTGTTGATCAATCCTCCATTTTTGATGGTCTTACAACAGAAAAACATAGATACCCGTCAATGTAAACATTAAAATCTGACCGTCTTCCAGAAGGCCCAGAAGATGGTCTCAATCCGCCCCTGCAATAAGATTACAGTTTCAGGACCATGAGAGTTCAAATTCACATAATGAAAATCACAATATTTGAAAAATGATGACAGTGCATAAAATATAATAAGGTTTAAAGACATAAATACCAATACAACTACTTATGTGGAAATACAGAAAATGCGCAGAGGTTCAAATGGATGGGAGTTAAAAGTCACATCTTGAAAATGCCAGTGTTTGAAAAAAAAAAAAAAAAAAAAAAAAAATATATATATATATATATATATATATATATATATATATATATATATATATATATATATATATTCCAATAAAGCTGCTATTCAAACTTTCAATCTTGCTGTATTAACATGAGAAGAATGACCCAATTGAGTTTTTTCATTGCTTCCTTATTATGGACACTTATCTAGCATAGAACTTAGCCTATGGGAGTTTACAGTATCAACAAGTGTGTTTTACGTAATCTCATTTAATGGCCAATGGAATCTTAATTGACTTTATAGCTCTGAACTTATACCCAAGGGAAAATTACAAATGTGACTAGTAAAGGTCTAGTAAGTCACACCTTAAAAAGATGCAGAAAATAGGTCATTTTGTCAATTTTGATACAATAATAAATAATGTTTATAACAGCACAAGCAACACTTATAATAATAATAACTCTTTGTGAGAGATCTATATTCCACAATAAGACATTGTAAAAAAACTCATAGAAATATAATATATTCTGTTTTACCACAAAAATGGCAGTTATAGCTATTATTCTGATATCCGAGCTTGTCATTGCACCATGAGACCTCCACAGATGGCTATACTCTGTTATAATATTTAAGAGAATATTACAAAAAAAAAGAAAAAAAAAAACGTTTTACAAAAAATTCAGGGACTAACTTTGAATGTAGAAATTGTTTCATTAACCATTGGTAAGTATGGGAAATTGTGGTTTACTCCAGGAAAATTCAATTTTTGGCCAAAACGAACACTTATTATCCCTTTAAATTTAATCATCCACAACAGGTAACATGGCGAAAAAAATTACATTTTCAGGACCATATGTGAGAGTTCAAATTCACATAAAGAAAATATCAATATGTGAAAAATGATGACAGTGCATAAAATAATATTACCTAATGTTTAAAGACATAAAAATCAATACAATTGCTCATGTGGAAATACAGAAAATGCACAGCACTTCTGGATGGGACTTAAAATTCACATCTTGAAGATGCTAGAGTTTGAAAAATAATTAAAAAAAATTTAAATAAGACATAACAAAAAATTCCAATAAAGCTGCTATTCAAACTTTTATCTAGATGTATTAACATGATATGGATAACACCACTGAGTTTAGACCCTATTTCACACAGACCACGAATCCCACGAATGGCCAGGGATTGACAAATTTCAGGATTCGTGGTTGTATCGTAATCAGTTCGTGAAGTTCTTAAGAGATTCGTATATATTCGTAGTCAGTTCTTGCACTTCTTGACCAACAGGAATTAGTGGCAAAAATCTTGATGTCCCTATTTCACACAGATCATGAATCCCACGAATGGCCAGGAATTGAAAATTTCAGGATTCGTGGTTGAATCGTAATCAGTTCGTGAAGTTCTTAACAGATTCGTATATATTCGTAGTCAGTTCTTGCAATTCTTGATCAATCGGCAATTCGTGGCAATAACTTTGAGCTGTTCAACATTTTGGCCACGAACTCCCGATTCAAAAAATCGTAGTTAATTCGTAGCATCGTAACTGAATCGTAATTGATTCGTAGGCATTCGTATGTATTCTTAACTCATTCGGGGATTCGTGAATACCTGCACTGACCACGAATCTGCTACGAATCAGTCACGAATCCCACGAATAATCGCCGAAGCATGTACGAAGCAAGTAAGAACTATTTACGAATTCACGATAGCGAACGAATCAGGCACGAATCCGCTACGAATCTCCCGAATCTATCACGAATCAGCTACGATTGCCGGACAGTTGGGTATATAAGGAGTTTAACATTAATTTCAGGTCATTAGCTGCTGACGATTGTGTCACGAAATCCACAAATTAGCAAGATGCCAAGAAAACCTGCAAGAAAGGGCAAGGAGAGATGTAAGGCAAGCAAGCGAATCAGGGAAGATTTTACAGAAGGCTCCCCACCTAGAGAAGCTACCCCTCCACCTGCAGATGAATCAGCTGCAGAAGTAGAAAAAGATGTGGCAGATTCAGCAGCACAGTCAGTGGCTGCTGAGTCAGTGGCTAGTGATGTTGATGATGAACTAGCAGCTTCTTCCCAGTCCAAGAGCAAGAAGGCCAGGGTCTTGTCCAACCTCACAGAGAACGAACAAGAGGAGGTGGCCCTATTCCTTGAGAGGAGTGACTTTATCTACAACAAGAGGCGGGCAGACCATACCTTTGTCTCAAAAAAGAATAAGGTTTGGAACGATCTGGCACAGGAGATGGGGAAAGAAGTAAAGGCTTTAACTACATTTTTCGAGAGTATCCGTACACAGATGGGGAAACTCAGGAGGAAGAAGAGCAGGCAGGCAGCTGTTGATATGACAGACCGCCAACAGTGGATATGGACCAGATTCCAGTTCCTGGTGCCCCACAGCGGACAAGTCACCAATCGCACAGTCCAGAGCTTCCGGAGTAGCGCCACCATCAGCCAGGGTGAGAAGTCCCAGGAAGAGGAGGCCCAGAATCCAGTAACCACCTCACTGTCCACCACCGCTACGGGGAGCTTGACTGTGACGGAGCCCAACAGGGGATGCAGAAGCAGAGGGATGGGGCCACAAATTCTGGACCAGGCGCTGCATACCTGCCAGGACCGCCAGGAGAAGCTGTTACAGATCCTGCAAGCCCCTTCCGTGCCTGTTGCCCCCCACCCAGAGAGGTTAAAGTTCGCGGAGTACCTCGGGCATGCTTTCCAGAACCTGCCCCAGTCCATCTATCGCGACGTACGTGTCAGAAGGCCATTTTTGACCTTCTATACAACGCCGAGAAGCAGGCAGATGAGGAAGCAGGAAGATCAGCATCAGAACCAGCACCAGCACCTACTCAACAGCACCAGCAGTGGCAGCCGCATCCCTTGCTGTGGCAGTCCAGACCAGTGGCTGCAGCTCAGTCGGTGTGGCACTCACAGGATTCAGCCTGGGTCGACAGGCAGTTCCCAGGGTATACCCAGTCCCCCAGCCAACAGGAACTGGTCAGTCAGAGGTCCTCACAAGCAGCTACCTGCACCACCATGATGCCTCCTGCTGAAAACAAGCAGCCCCAGAGGTCCTCCAGTGCCCTTGTGTCCCAGGATTCGTCATTCGGCAGTCTGTCTGAACTACTGATGGACGTAGAACCCACAGCAGTTGCCACTCCGGTCACAGAGACGTCGACGGCAACCACTGAGACTGACAGGTCCTCACTCTCCACTCCTTAGACTGTATTATTAGCTATGTGCTACTTAGAATGTGTGCTTTTAGCTGTGTGCTTTAAGTGATATGTTTTTTTATGATTATGATATTCATGTAAAAACATGTACTTTGATAAGTATTTCTGTCTTTCAGTTTGAATAATGCAAATAAAACTTCAAAAAAAAAAATGTGATAATAATAATAACAATCAGAAGTTCATAATCCAAAGTTGTTTCTACAGCCATTCGCTCCTACCACTGTTTCATGTAGGGAAGTTGCCAGTTACTTGTAGGAGCATGTGCATCTAGTGCTGGTTAATCGTCCAGGTCGGCTGAGCCCGCCCTGGAACGATACGAGTACATGTAGGTTAAAGGGATAATAACTTTTCGTATGAGATCTATATTTCACAATAAAAACATTGTGAACAACTCATAGAAATATAATATTTTCTGTTGCACCACAAAAACGGCAGTTATAGCTATTATTCTGATATTTGAGCTTGTCTTAAGACCACGTGACCTCCACTGATAGCTATACTCTGTTAAAATCTCTTAAGAGATTATAACAAAAAAAGAAACTTTTTAGAAAAAAAGGGACTAATTTTGAATGCTAAAATGGATTCATTAACCATTGGTAAGTATGGCAAAACTGTTGTTTACTCCAGGAAAATTCATTTTTTGGCCAAGTTATTATCTCTTTAACTGACAGCCCTTACATGTCTGAAGTACTGTTGAAAAAGGTGTAAAATCCAACTAAAACAAAAGCAACTGCTGAACCACGATGAAATTTAGACAGATGGGCTAGGGCAATGTGAACATTAAAAAGAAAACAACAATGCTATGACTGAGCTGAAATTCTAATATACTGATTGCGGCAGCTGTTGTGCCAGGAGTCAGTAGAGCGATACAGGCCTATTGCTCTAATACGTTTTATTGGTAAAAAAGAGCATTTGTAAACACTAATAGCATACATCGTTAAACATTTCAATATCAACAGTCATCATTTAATTAAGATTCACTCCAGCTAGTCTCTCTTGCCACGGAACTGAACCTGCTTCACTATTAAAAAAGGCCTTAATATAGTCCCTCATGACTTTGCCCTCTCGATTGTCTCTGTTGGGTGCATTAAACTGGGGTATCTCCTGCAGATGTTGGTCTGCCCTCCAGGCACCAGGGATTATGTTGTGCTCCTCCTCTTCCTGGTCCACTTCCGCATTCCCAATGGCAGGGAACCTGATCCTCAGTAAGTTGTGGAGGATGACACCTGTCTCCACCAGTAACCGCACAACATCAGGTCCTTGTTCCAGGGTGCCCTGGAAGCATCTCCATCTGTTGGCAAGTATTCCGAAACCATTCTCCACCACACGCCTGCCCCTGGAAAATTTGTAATTGGCCACCAGCATGTCATTGTCCAGAGCCCTCCTGCCATAGGGTTTCATGAGGAAAGTCCTCAGGGGAAAGGCATCATCTCCCAGGATGTAGTAGGGTGTGTCTCTGTTATCACTGGGCAGAGGATCGCTGTCAGGAAAGTTTATGGTGTTGTCATCAATGCACTCTTTCAGTTCTGAAGCACCAAACAACTGTGCGTCGGATTGATGACCTTCTCCACCAGTGTCTATCCAGATAAACTTATAATCCGCATCCACCAGGGCCAACAGCACCACGGAGAAGAAGCCTTTGTAGTTGTAGAACACACTGCCTGAGTTTTGTGGTTTCCTGATGGCTATGTGCTTTCCATCCAAGGCCCCCAGGGCATGAGGAAGATTCCATCGTTCTTGGAACTGCTGGGCAATGGCCTTCCAGTCCTCCTTGGTTCTTGGCAATGGCATGACGTCATCTTTTAACTCCTGTATGATGGCCTGACAGACTTCCTGCACACTCCATACCACCATGCAATAGCCACATCGGAAGTCATACTGGAGGGTGCGATACCCGTCTCCTGTAGCCAGGTGTCTGAGCGTCATGGCCAGCTTTATTCCAGCATCTAGGGCTGGTCTCATATGGGTGTCCCTCCGCTGGATGACTGGGCTAATCCTGTTGAGTAGCTCATCAAACATGTGGGCAGGCATTCTAACATAGTTGGCAAAGGCATTCTCATCTTCCACCCTCAGGTCCTGCATCAGTCTGTTGTAGTGACCATATTCTAGCCTTCTAGCTGGTGTCAGCCACGGTTTAACCCACCACCTGCGGGCTCTTCTTTGAAGCAGTCTTCTTCTAACTATCAGCAGCTGGTGTTGATACTCAATTTCCAGGGCCAATACAACAGCTGCTCTACGTTGAACATCCATTTCAGAACTGATGCACAAGCTCGGCTGAATGCCTTTTCATACCTATCATGAGGGGAAATACCACGAAATGTCAAGAATAGTCCAGAAATCACTTTTATCCGTACCCAATTCGTGCATGCATTCGGCGTGTGCTTAACTAATTCCTTATTGATTCGTAACGTTCGTGCAGTATTCGTAATAGATTCTTATAAACCGTAGTGAATTCTTGAAAATATTCGTGCGATTCCAGCCGAATCCCACGAATATTCGTAACACTATCGAACCTGTATCGTAACTGGTTCGTAGAGCGTGCCGTATTCGGCCAACAAATTTGCAAAATCTCACGAATTCTCAGGAATCCTGAAATTTGTCAATTCCTGGCCATTCGTGGGATTCGTGGTTTGTGTGAAATAGGGCCTTAAGCAAAAATCTTTATATAGACAAAATTTCATGTATAACTGATGCTTGTTCATTGTCTGTTGTGACATTGAATGTGTCTGCATGTATTCTGATCACTGTCTATGTCTTTATTGTTCCTGTATGTGTTTATTATAATATAATAATATATCTTGATCACTGTGTTATGTCTGTGTTGTNGATATATATATATATATATATATATATATATATATATATATATATATATATATATATATATTTCATTGATGATTTATTATCTGTTTTTAATAGAAATGAAGGTGTGTTTCCTGGATCATCATCACACTTAGGACAGTTGAATTCATCTGTTCACTGTCTCGTTCTACAACCACACAGTATCAGCAAAGGTCAGTGCAACAAAGATATTGCTACACTGGTGATTCTATTCAATCCCATTGTGACCATCGCCACTACATGTTGTAACTGGGAAATTATCATTTGTAAATGGGTCATTGAAATCCAAATCAGTTTTTGATATGTTCAAGGTGACAAGGGTTAATGTTAGCTGTTTGGAATTGGGGGATGAGGGTTCGCTGGGCAAAAATCTTGATATAAACAAAATTTCATGTATACATCTTGATGACTTTGCAATTGTCTGTTGAGACATTGAATGTGTCTGTATGTATTCTGATTACTGTATATGTCTTTATTGTCACTGTATGTGTTTATTGTATTATAATAATATATTTTGATCACTGTGTTACACATTTTTTAAAAATGGCCCAATTTTTTTTTTTTTTTTTTTTTTTTTTTGACCAAGTGGGCCAAAATGGCCCTACCAGATTTTGACCCAGGAATTAAGATCCCTGTTATTCTAAGGAAATTCCAATGGATTTACTTTTTAAAACATAAAATCAGTTTGGGCGTGAGGGTTTGCTTATCAAAGGTCTTGATATTGACAAAATTTCATGTTTACATTCCGATGCCTGTGCATTGTTTGTTGTGACATTGAATGTGTCTTTATGAATTCTGATCACTGTCTGTGCGCATGTCTTAATTGTCGCTGTATGTGTTTATTATAACATAATAATATAACCTGATCTCCATTATTTCTCTGTTATAACTACTGTATATGTCTACATATATATTTCTTATTGATGATTTATTATCTGTTTTCAGTAGAGATGATTGAAGGTGTGTTTCCTGGATTATCATCACACTAAGGACAGCTGAATTCATCTGTTCACCATCTAGTTCTACAACCTTACAGCATCAGCATAGGTCAGTGCAACAACGATATTGCTACACTTGTGATTCTTTTCAATCCCATTGTGACCATCACCACCATATGTTGTAACTGAGAAATAATCATTTGTAAATGGGTCACTAACACCCCATTTCCATAGATTTTTAGATCTATCTATCCCTGTGGGGAGTCTCACTAGATTACTGCCAGCTTGGCCAGATTAAGCATCTGTTCGCCTACTAAAAGCTGTAAAGCGGTAATTAACTATAGTGCCCGCTCGGCTGACTGCAATTTAGCGTGAACCCCCAGGGAGTTAGGTCGATCTAAATTTTAATCCCTGGATCGATCTAAATCTCTGGAAATACACCCTAAGATCCATATTAGTTTTAAATATGTGCAGATGACAAGGGTTAACGTGAACTGTTCAGTTGACGGAGGGGGGGGGGGGGGGGCGACGCTTGGGAAAAATCTTGAATTAGTCAAAATTTTATGTATACATTCTGATGCCTGTGCATTGTCTGTTGTGATATTGAATATGTTTATATATATTCTGATCACTGCCTATATACAGTTTTGTGCAGAGAAGATGACATTACGGATATGGATAAACCACCCTAATCTTATGTATCGCACATTTAACATAATTACAGGGTAAACACAATAGGCCACAATGCTTAGCGTGTCAGCTGGGTTATGGGAAGTAAGTCGAGTTGGCCTCGTTTGAGGTGATGAGTGACAGCCTTAATTGCCACCTCTCTCTCTACTGATGCTGCTGAGCGACAGTGTTAATTGTCATCTCCCAAGTCCCAGTTGCTTATCTGATTATCTGCCCGACTGCACACAATCATTGTTCATCTATATGGGGCACGCTTTCATTGTATTTGTCCTTTAGATAGTATTTTAGATAGCATTTTCTTTCTTAACGATGTCTTGGTTCTCAAGGCTCAGTTACAATATAAAATGTTACTCCTAAAATTGTTTCAATAGACGTTTTTGCTGCATATATAGCACATAGTTACTTATTTTTTTGCTGTTAATTGTGTTGTAAATTTCAAATTTCCCATGTGTTATTGATTCTGAATGTTGAAAATAAAGGATCCATAACCCTAATAAAGCCGAGGTCCCAACTACGTTTTGGACGCATGGTTTTCAGGTTACTAGCGTCCGGCTAGGACGTAGCAAGATCGCACGTAGCGGCTGTTGATCATGTCAAAAAGTTTCTACATGCTGTTTGCGTCCTCCAAAAGTCGCACAATGGACGTGCTCCTCACGCACGAACTCCCACGTTTTCCCCATTTTTTGGCTGTAGACCACACGTAGCAGCCCGTACGTTCGGTTGGGACCTAGGCTTAAGACGGCGTATTTTACATTTTTCCCCAAGTCATCAATTTCATCTCAAATTATTACATTGAAATGCTCACACTATTATAAATTTTGAACATATAATTGATTGCAGTTTAACCTGGCTTTGCCCTAACCTGTTAACCTTTTAACATCATTTTCGATCACGAAGAACAACATTGGCCGGGTAATCTATCCAAACACTGTTTTTCTTTTTTTTTTTACTTTTAATTATGAAGCGGCGCGGAGTATTCAATTGGAGATTGGAGATTATATCCATTGACTCGTACGTCAAATTAAATGCTTGTAGAAAGGGTTTTTAAAAGGATTTTCTAAGAACATGGAGTCGACAAAAAGTATGATTGGAGATTAAGCAAGCATTTAAGGAAGATAATCAACAATCATGGTAATTGCGTGTAATCCACTTGCCCGGGTCCCTTTAGATCTTATCGAACGCTCCAAAGAATTGCGGAGATGGAGAAATGAGAGGATGATCTTATCGAAAATCTCAGTCTACCTGTACTTTGGAGTTATTAATCTAACTTACGTGGCAAGTGAGCTCTGATTAAACGTGTCACCAAAATCTTTTGTTCGACTTAAAATGTCAAAGAAGTGCCACGTCTTACTTGTAATTTTGTCATCTTATGTGACATTTTGGCTTTACAGCTTATTTTGATTGTGGTGAAAATTTTTATCATTTTTTACCGCAATTCATTTGTCAGAAGTAACCTTCATTGATAACTACATCTACTTGCTGACCTAGCAAATCTGTTTTTATTGCACTTTTCTATTAGTCTCTGCCAGCATGGTTATATAATGTTTTCAAGGAATCTGACCGGCTACCATTACCAATTCACCGTTCCGAGATGAGTGATTGACAGCATTGTTTTAACCAATAGAACCGTATAATTAATGTCACGTGATACGCATGTGTAAACAGCTGCCATCTTACCGGACAAACAATCATCTGTCCGGTGTATCAGATTACGCTGAAGATTTTTGCATTTTTTGTCACTTAAGAATACGTTTCTCCGACAAAGTCATGCCAGTAAAACACTGTTGTTATGGGTGTTGCAAATCTGATTCTCGTTATCCGGAACGAATGGAAGGGGTGTATTTCATTGCTTTTCCGAAGCCAAAAACATAGCTGGAGAAGTGTCTAACCTGGATTCGTGCATGCGGTCGTCCACACAGGCAGTTTAGCGTTAAGAATGTAACAAAAAACACATACATATGTTCAAAGGTGAGTTAAAGCTCTTATTTATGCAGTGCAAGTATTAACTTATTCAGTTCATTACAAAAACAATTTATTCACAGTAAACGGTATTCAAAACGTGAAGATGGCGCCGAATATTAATATGGCGACAGATTTAGTAAGTTTGTATTGCAGGACAGGGAATGTAACAGCCACGCATCGAAATATTGTGTATTTTCCCTGTTTACTGGGGCTTTTTCCTTGTTAAACCACCAGTGTTATGGAAATATGTTTGATGTTTAAGTCTTTAAACCATAAACCCTTATGATAAAAACTATACATTTTTTTATTCATGTAGCATTTCAAAAATGCCATTGGCCCAACATCAGATTATCCTGACCCTATTCCCTTTGACTGCAGTGTCTTCAGAAAAGCAAGGAAAGCAAGGAAAAGACTATTGCAGGAGGTTGAAAGGTAATATTATTATATTACACATCAAAACATCTGAGAACATGTAAATTAAGCATAATTTTCAATTACTCATTTCTTGATAAAAAGTTGATCAGGAATTATGTACACAACAGAACATGCTTTGTTCAAACTAATACCCCTGTCACACTTATTCGGAATCAGCAGGAATCAAGCAGAACCAACTTGAATGAATAAAATTTTAATTTCGTGCACCATTCGGGAGGGAATTTCAAATTTACCTTAATTCTTACGGCTTTGAAAGAATGCCGCTAGAATGCTCAGAATGAACATCAAATGATTCTTGCACATTCCAGATATAGGCCCGAGACGGAAATAGCAAGAATGCCGTCTGAAATACAATTATTTGTACGTTCCTGGATATTAGAATAGCTGACCCTAATGTTTTGCTCATGCTCAAAACTTTTGAAATGCATTCAGTGGGAAATTTATTTGGTTCTGGTGTACAAGTGATCACAAAATTTATGGATAATGTTCCATGACATAAATAAAGTTTTTAAAAATTGGACTTGTGGTCCCCATTCAATAATTTCATTTATTTGTGAACAACATTCTTTATTTAATGTCCCCAGCTGTAAACATAACAAAAAATTCATAGATTATAATTTTTTTTAGTTTAAATTATTTTTTGTTCTTGCAGTGGTGAGGATAATTCACATGCATCTGAATCAACTGTTGAAACAGAAACTGGTACAAGCACTCAGACAGAAGAACAGTGTAAGTTTATTTCAAGCTTAAAGTGTTAGACAAAAATGGTTTTGCAAAGTCTTTGAAAAATCTGGATAGTTTTTGTAGAAGTTCTGTCATGTAAGCTTGATCTGGCATAATCCTCTGAATGTGCATATCACATTGTGTAAATACAATAAATTCACAGAAGTCGCATCCTGTTATCATGAGCTGTCCTTGAATTTGAGCGTAATAGTCATGGGTTGTTTTTAATCTTATTTCCCCATTATTGTTTTCAAGACAAAAATTGGCAATGTCTTCGCATGCAGTCGAAATTTTCATGTTTCTTGCTGTGAAGGGACATTTAATTTCTACAATTCCGGTTTGTCCATTGTCACACAACTTTCCATCTGGAGTTGCCCCCAGGAATGCGTAGTCCTTGTTAATAACTAACCCACATTCATGAAAATGGGTATTTCTGTGTCGCTCCATGTACCCCTTCTTAGCTTCACTTTCATGACGTTTTCCATATTCTAAAGATGGAGCTGTAATCTGTTTTGATGAAAATAAGTTTCGTAAAAATTTTTCAGTAGGTACTGATTTTCTATTGATCACACGACCAAAATTTGAGGCAGTTAGTCTGGTCTTGCGTGCCTCAAACCAATCTTTTGACAAAGATTGATCTCTGGTTTTAAGTTCCAGCTTAACAAAATCTGTGTCATTATATTCATTGTTCAAAATAACATATTCCTCGGGTAAAATCACTGGCGATGGTTTGAAAACAGAGTTGTCACCACACCCAATTCCGTGGACTGGTTCCTCTGTCCTTTTGATGTTTCTTGTCTGAAATAAACCAGTCATAATTGAAAATTAAATGTATATTTAAATAAGAACTCATGTCAGCATATACATTTATTATAATTGTAAATCTATCTATCTATCTATCTATCTATATATAAATATATAAATATATATTTTTTTATTGCAGGGGTTTCTCCAATGGACATGTTAGCTACATCTACGGATTTACACATATTGCGTGGTGAATTAGATTTGAAAAATAACAAAATCAAGCAGTTGGAGTCAATGATCATGAAATTGAAAGACGAAAATAAACAGCTGAAGGAAAAAATTGATGATCAAATGAAATTTGGAATAGAAAGCATTTTAGACAAAGAACAGAAGATAAAAGGACTCTTTAAGTACTACACAGGAATTACTCATGAGCGGTTTAAAAGTCTGTTCAATTTTTTGCTACCAGACAACTATATACTACAGTATGAAAAAGGGCGGAATGATATTAAAATTTTGACACAAGAGGACTGCTTATTTTCTGTGTTGATACGGTTACGTCATAATTTTGGTTTAAAGGATATTGCCATTAGGTTTGGTTTAACTGTTCAGTCTGCTGGAATTGTTTTTAATACATGGATAGCCCACATGCATCTTAAGTTTGGACAACTGTCAATTTGGCCACATAGAAATATCATTATTGAGAATATGCCAAAAGACTTTAAAGCTGATTTTCCAAATACATTGGTTATTATTGATGGTACAGAGTTCAAAACACAAACTCCATCTGCTCTTGGTTTGCAAAGTCAGATGTATAGTGATTACAAGTCCAATACAACACTGAAGGGTCTTATTGGCTGTGATCCCAGTGAATCTGTTATTTTCATTTCAGAACTATTTACTGGGTCTATATCTGATAAATGCATAACTGAACAGAGTGGATTTTATGAACAATTAGATAAGCTTAAGCAACAAGGTTATATTGCTGAAGGAGACTCTGTCATGGCTGACAAAGGGATTTACAATAGAAAAAGAATTAAAAACATTAGGGCTCAGATTGAACATTCCTCCATTTTCATCTAGTGGGGCCCAAATGACAGCAGCACAAACATACCAGACTCAAAAAATAGCTAAACACAGGGTTCACATTGAAAGACTAATTGCAAAAGTTAAAACTTACCAAATTATTTCAAACATTATACCAACTAACTTATTTCAGAGTGTAAATAAGATATGGACAATATGTTGCTTTTTAACTTTATTTCAAGATACTTTTGTCACTGATAAAAGCTCACATGAAGATAATTGATGATTAAAAAATGAAGTATAATTGTAGAAATAACTTTTAATGGTACTTATTTAAATGAAAATGTGTATATATAGAAGTGAAAAATGCTTTATTGTATACAGTGATTTTTTAACCCCTATTTTGCCATTTTTTGGCCAAAAGCTGATGAGAACTTGTTGTCGAAATGTAATGCGATATCACACAGATTTTTACCTGATAAGATAGATATGAGCCAAGTTGCACTTCTCCTAATGGTGTATCTACTTTTGGAACATCCACTGAAGCAATATAGGCTAATGGGGTCCCTTTCATGTTTTTGAGGATGTTGATGTCTTGATGGGTTATCTTTGGTAATCTGAAATTCAACAATATTTTCACATAACTTGAACACCCAGGTTTTGAAATAATACTACTAAATCATCTAGTGTAATTTGAGTGTTACACAATGTAACACTACACTCGGGTCGAAAACAAACTACCCGATGTCTGTCCTGTACATAAAAATATTATCTCTGTAGAATTTTATTGCTAAAAAGTATGTAATAAAAACCATAGTATGGGCTTTCAAGCATATGAGTTATTTAAGTTAGATCTTAAAGGCCTCGTCCCAAATGATATGTGTGTACAATATCCAATGCATACTTACACACAGTCTGGCTCAATGTGACACAAAACAGGACGTCTTTTCCTATTTTCAACAGGCCTTGCTACTACAACATGGTTCAATGGCACTGGCTGAATTTTGTCACCCCTTGGTACATGCCACTGCTGTGGTATGCTAGTACAGCTTTGTTGGTCTGGTACATGTGTGAAATTGTGAAGTTTAAATCCCTGGAGTGTCTTGAGGAATCCAACTATATGGGAACAATGTCCATTCAAACTGAAAAATTAATAATTTGTCATGATTTTTCTGGGGAAAAGCAAAATAAAGCATTCAGCACATGGTTGAAAATGCTGGATTCATGAAAATAAATATCTATATATTTTTAAAAAATTTATTCAAAACATACTGGGAATAGGGATGAAAAAAATGCAAGTTAACAGTCTATTAAAAAAACTTGCTGAGGCAGCAACCATTTGATTTTCTAGGGGGTGGTTTTGGATTTTTGTCTGGTGAAGACTTTTTAAATTTTTTTCTTGATGCAGTGAGACTAATATTTTTGCTTCAAATTTAATACACCTCATATGGTAAGAATTATTTTTCCAAACTGTCAAAATCATTTTTTACTCAAAT